TCAATGTTTCAAGTTTGCATTTTTGTTGTCTAAAGGGATCATTAATCAAATTAAACTCAAACTTGTGAAATTCGTTGCAAAGACATTAATTAATCGACTAGGTACCGATTTAGGGCGTTGTGGGGGTGCTAATCCTTCCCCACACGTAACCGACTCCCGAACTTGGATTTTGGTGACGTAGACCGTAAATTTGTCGTTTTAATTAAAATTAATTGTTATTTAAAATGACAAAATGTTTTTGGGTGCCCAATCACACCCTAATCAAAGATTGGTGGCGACTCCTCGAACCTTATATTTTTACCGCAACGGAATTTCCAAATTTTCGAAACGAGAGGTTTTCTAAAAATCACATTGTTTTTAATTAAAAATTCAATTGAAAAGAGAATAATTAAAAATGACGTGGTTTTCCAAATCACCCTCGCCCCCCGTTTAAAAATCGTTTCGACAAAATTATTAAGATTTTCCTATTTCGAAATTATGATTTGGTTCAGTGACATTTGATAGAGACCGTTGAAAGGATATCTCAAACTTGTTTTCGGCGGGAAATTCGAATTTTTTTTGCGGGAAGTTGAAGTAAAGTTAAGCGTAATGAATGGAAATCTTTATCTATTTATTTCATAAAGATTAAAATATTTAAAACACAAATCATCCTAAATTCTATTATTTTGATCAAATTATTCCTTATAAAATTTAAATCTGTGAAGAAATATCCTTAAAATTAAGGGTAAAGAACACACATAAAAAAATGAAAGAACGATATGATAATCACATGTGCTAACATACACTTATTTTTATTGACATAACAATTGTGTCAGTTGACATGGGCTTCTTTTTGTTTACATGATAACCACATGTCATTCAATCATTTTTTTTGTATTTTTATTTTATTTTATTCACCTGAAGATGAAAACTTTATAACTTTTCATTTTTTTGTATTTTTATTTTATTTTATTCACATGAAGATGAAAGCTTTATAATTTATACATGTGTTACATTTGCACTTGAATTATCGTTTTTCAGCAACTTCCCTGACTAATCGATACTACGACAAACTCGTATCATTGTCTCATACTAACTTATCAATATATATTTTTCTAAAATGCCTTTAAAATTCATGAAACTAAATATATAAACCAAAACTCATGAAACTCCAAACACTTTTATTTATAACATCTATCGTTTGATCAACGTAGAATGATATATATAGCTCATTTCATCCTTTTCCACTTCTATAGTTGGGATTTAAAAAAATATGTATAATCGTTGAGAAATCAATAAAAATTTAAAACTAAGGTTTTTTTCTTACAAAAATGAAGAAAAATTTAAGGTCATTTCATAATTTTTAAAAGAAATAAGTTTAGTCAAAATGTTATTAAGTTTTTAACGACGGAACGGTCAAAACAAGAACAAGTTGAAAGTTTAGTGATTAAATTGATTTTCTTAAAACTTAAGTTACCAAAATAAAATTGAAATGCAAGTTTAGTGATGAAATTTGTAATTTACCATAAAAATTTATTTGAAAAATACCATTTGTAATTGATAGTCATAATGAAAAAAATTTGTAACGGTTTACTAAATGATCACTTTATTCTTATTATTATTTTAAGTACTTTAACCTTTGACGTTTTAATTTTAATCAAATAAATAATTTTTGGATTAAAATTAATAGTTAATTAACGATCAATTATTTATTGACATGACACATCAGCATGTGCTTAATTATTTATATATTACAGTGTTATATTAGTAAATAATTTGATTAATTGTGGTGTTGAAATAGTCCTTAAACATGATTTTATATGTAATTCGTTGCGTCCACTTTCCACTAACTCCACCATTCACAGGGTTAGAGGAGGATTGAAAATGATGTATAAAATACCAAATTTTAAGCAATTAAACCCATAAAAAGCAGTGATTTATACGTTGTTATAATGAGCTTTCAAATTTTGCAATTATGCCAAAATTAAACAACGGACTTTGACTTTAATTATAGCCGTTTATTATTACCCCTTTAAAGGGCAGAAGAAGACTTGCAATTCTTGAGTGCCTTCCCAACTCTTATCAGCCAATTGTATAGTCAAAAGCCTACACATTTGTTTTTTTTGTTGTTGTTTTCTTTTTGTTTGTTTTTTAATATAATTTTGGGGAAATAATTTTGGATTATAGTGTTTATGCAATGAGTCTTAATCAATTAATAAATCAAATTAGCAAATATTATAGGACGCCAACTGGTTGGTTCAATTTGCTTTAACAGACTAATCAGCCACTTAACTTGTAAATTGATATAATCGAATCGGTTTAATACTAACTAGTGATAAGAATAACGACAAATGAAAAACGATATCGCAAGATATAAGAAGAAATAAGATTTACGTAAAAAATTTCAAAGAAAATAAAACAACGAGAATATAAGAGGTATTCGTCGTAATATCAAAATTATAAGAGGTTTAGAGCTTAATTGAGGCTTAGTTAATAAGCCTAATGACTATCACATGTTTATAGGGTGAATTATTAGATAAAGAGGAAAAACAAATTAGAATAGGTCATATTGATATGAATCCATACTTCTAATCAAATACTGATTAAAGAAGTATAATATGATAAACTGGATGTTCAACAAGAGCTATACCACGAGAGTGCTACCGACCTGAAAGCCTATGCATCCACCATATATCCTTATTTCCTCTCAATTTTATATCTTCATCAAACATGTTGTAACCAAAGTAAATGAAAATTAAATAAAAAATTCTAACAGCCAATTTAATCATTTATTTTTTAAAATATATATAAATTAATTGAATTAAATTTTGATTTCAACACAATTGCATTGAAACAAATTGGTTAATGAATTGATCGACATGATTGTAAAAATGATTTTCATTTTGCCTTTATTGTTTCATTTCATGTTCTTAACCTTACTTCATTTGCAAGTTACTACTCACTTGATTGATTCATGATTTTGACACCATCCCTTTTGCAGCTACAGGCTGCCTACCATTTATTTGTACATAAAATTGGTAAAATAATATATATATAACTTTTGATGTGAAAGACGTACATGTATTAAGGGGGTGTTTGGTTTAAGGATTGTGAGATTCTCATGGGATGAGAATCCTACATTCCAATGTTTAGTTGGCCGGGAATCTCATTCCCAGTAATGTTTATTACTAATAGTAGATTTTTTGGGGTATATTACCGGGAATGTCATTACCTCCATTCCCTTAGGTATTGTAACATTATCGGCGTTTTGGACTAAAATGCCCTTAAATTTTTATTTTTTTCAAAAATATATTTCTTTTGTCATTGAATAATAAAAATTATACGAATGTTAAATTACAAATTTATCCTTAAATTATTTTAGATTTACAAAAAAAATTCTATAATTAAAATTTTATATGAAGTTAAGGGGTTAAAATTTTTTACCCTCTCATTAAACATTTTTTATATTTTAATTTTGTAAAAAAATTATATAAATATTATGAATTTAATTTTTTAAATAAAATATATAAATATTTTACAATTTGTAATATTATACAAATATAATAAGGACAATTTGATCAAATAGATTCTAATAATATTTTATTCCTTTAACCAAACACGATAATCTTACATTCCTGCTAAACCAACCAAACACAAAATACAACATTCCCAGTAATCCTATTCCCTGGTAATCTTTTATTTCCACTGGTAATCTTATATTCCGTGAACCAAACGCACCATAAAAGTATGTTTATTTTTGTAAATAACTTTTGAAGAGTATTATATTTATAAATAATTAAAAAATGAATACATTAGGGGTAATAAAGCTTCTAAAACAATTATTGTCGGGACATTATTTTACGTTTAAATACCATACTACAAAAATAAGTATACTTATTCAATATTTAAATAAATATATGCAAATATAATTGAATGAAAATCAAGTTGTACCTATGTAATTGAACTAGAATTAAAGTTTTATACATATAATTATACTACATCAAAATTTATACGATCACATTACACATTTGATCAAAGCTCGTATAATTTTATTATTTATCTTTTTAAAAGAACATATCATTAAATATTTGATTATTTTATAAATAATTTCTTTAGGTGGGTAATATAAAATACTTTTTCAAAGTAGAGGTGAATAAAATTCAATTAGAAATAAATAAATTTTTTATTTTATTTGATGTTAAAAATTGACTTGACTTAATTTAATTACTAATTTCATAAGTATCACTAGACTAAGAAAAAAATTAAATTCAAGTTGAGTGATTATTTTCAAGTTCGAGTCGAATCCTACAATACATATGTATATCATGTGAAAAAATATGAAGAAAATCATATGTATATTGAATACGATTATAGAAAATCGTTTAAATTAGAATTAAATAGTACTATAATATTATAAACATTTACAATTAAATTTAAACAAAAATTCAAATAACTCAAATAAACTAGAGTTTCATAAATTCAACTCTAAAAAATTTAAAATTAAGTTTAAACTATAAAATAAAACCTGTCAACTTAATTTTTTTAACTTTATTATATCACATGTTTATTCCTAATCCAAATAATAATATTATGTTGTAAGCAAGAAAATCAACCTCCTGTAAGTCTGTAACCACTAAATACATCAAAATTCCCTCCAAATGAACCCGATGAGTACCAAAAAAATTTAAAATTTCAAAGATATAAAGTAAACAAAAACAGGTAAACAAAGTAAGCACTTTACTATCTTAATTGTTAATCAAGTTTGTAATTAATCAAAAAATAGGACAGACGTCAGGTGTGTTGTGAAACAGGACAAATGTCTCCAACCAATGGGCCATTCCTTTCCAGTTGTTCTTCACATCTTACACTGTCAATTTGCCCAGAAATCTTCATTTTTTTAATTTCCAAGTTAAAATTTTTGATTTTATTTTCTTTGTTTTTAATTTTGTAATTTTTTTAATGTCTCAAAGTAACCCTGAAACCTTAATAAAGGCAGCTTGTCTTCAACAATCTCTACTCATCTCCTCTCCCTTTCCTTCCTCTTTCCTCTTGGGTCCCTCTCTCTTTCATAAAAACCCAAACTTTGGGTTCTCTCCAGCAAAATCCTTTCCACTCACTTCATGGCTGAGTTGATGGATGATGCCGAGTTTTGGCTGCCGGAGAAGTTTATAGCCGACGACGGTAGGATTATGAAGAAAGGGACTCTTAAGAACGAAAACGGTAGAAAAAACGATACTGAGTCGTTGGTATCCGGTCATGGTTTCCCTACTGAGTTCCCTTACGTGTTCGACTCATTTGACTCCTTTTCAGTTCTGAGCTCCCCTGTTGAATCTTATGTTGAGTCCACGGAGACTGAGAGATGTGACGGGGACGAGTTTCTCGCTGGATTGACACGACGCCTCGCTTACTCAACGAGTCAGAAACTCATTGTTCATGCTATGCACAAAAACGAGGTACAATTATTTTTCCTGTACGTTTTCTTCAGCTGATTTTAATTAATGTTTCGATTTAAAATCTGGTTTTGTTTTTAAATTTAGAAAAATGGAGCTTTTGCGAGTTCACCAAGGTCGACTCTGAGTGGACTCGGATGCTGGTCGTCTTCAAGCAATAATAGCCCTAATGGATCTTCTCAGGTTTCTTCTCCACCAACAACGCCATTTCGTGCTCAAAACGACACTTGGGATCTCATTTATGCGGCGGCTGGCCAAGTTGCAAGGCTCAAAATGAGCAATGAAGTCCCCAAATACGCCAACTTCAACCATGCAGGTGACTTATCCAAACCTCAAACCCAGACACTTACTTTCAATCATGCTCAAACAAATCAGGTAAACCCTTTCTCTTACATGTTTGAAGTCATCCCCATTTTTGTCTTAAATTTCTTCTTATGGGGGCTTATTGGGTGTTTTTCCTATGCTTTGGTTCTTGATTAGTTCAATGGGAGGCAAGTCATGGCAAGTAACTGGCAAGCACAAGTTCAGCATCAGCAACAGCAGCAGATTCAGAATAAAATTAAGAGCAATGTTACTGCTGGTAGACCTTTAGGGTTGCCTCAATCTTCATGGCCACCACATCGAGTTCAGTCCCAACAGAAACAACCTCGAACTCACCCTGTTCCGGCATGAAAGCGGTGTTTCTCGCCGGATCCGGTGGAGTTAAACGACAGACTGCTGGTACCGGTGTCTTCATACCTCGTAGATACGATACAAACATCACCAATCCTGAACCTAGAAAGAAACCAGGTTGTTCGACAGTGTTACTGCCCGCAAAGGTTGTCCAAGCACTATACCTCAACTTCGATGACACCAACAACACCAGTCATGTCCTGCCTCAATTCAGTCCATCAAACTATGGTAAACACTAAATCCCAGTGTTCCAATTTTGATTCAATATCATAATTAAAACTTCATGCATACTGAAATACATATCATTCCAACTTTGTAGATGCATCGGTAGCAAGAAGAAATGCGTTGTTGACACAAGCAAGGAGAAGTTACAGACAAGAAGGAAGCTTCAACCTGCCTCAGGAATGGACTTATTGATCTCAGATTAGTGTTTGTTTTGCTGGAAAAACAAAGTGGCAGTAAAAGTAGGGGATTTAGTAGTTTATATATATATATATAAGAATTCAAGATTGTGAATCAAATAAGTAATTAAGTTAATAAATCTGAGTTTTTTCTTCTAGTATTCAAGGAGATTGAGGATTGCAGCAGCTTCTGGAGGTTAGATATAGGAACAAAAATAGGGGGAATGGTGTTTCTTGTTGTAATAAATTCTATTTTATTTTTTAAATTTTATGAGGGGGAATTGGATTTTTGTCTTTGAAGAAGGGGGGATTGTAGAAGGAAGAAAAATCCATAGCCCTCTTCTGTATTATCCCCTTGAAAGTTAATGTATATTACTAATAGTTTCATTTGAAAATAAGTGTTAAATTTTGTTTAATATAGAATTTGGTTGATATGATACTAATAATTAAAATATTTTAAAAGTTAAAGATCAATTTAAAATGTAAGCAGTATTCTGAGGATGTGTAGGGTAATTAGCCAATTAAAATTATACTATTTTTGTTACACATAAAAGTAAGGGCAGAAAAGCAAAGATGAAATATTGCATTTTTTGCTTCAGCGTGAAGCAGCAGTGGGGGAACAATGACAGCATTGAAAGTGATAGATAAAAATAAAATTTAAAAATTATATATGTATATATATTAAAAAAATAATTGTAATTTATATAAAAATATGTTTAAATGTTTAAATTATAAATTAAAATTTAATTATTTATCGAAATTCTACATATAAAAAACTTTATCTATTTTGCTTTTTTAATCTTGGTGTTGCTGTATTGACCTGGTCAAACTGCTCTGTAGTGTTTGAAACAACTGTTCGCATTAAATGCTTATGTTTCTTTTTGGAATTTGATAATTGGAATTAACTCAATGCAAATACTTAACATTTAATAAATTTATCGGCATGAATCAAACAAACTTATTAGTTAAGAGATAATTATTACTTTTAGAGATACTAAATTCAAGTACGAAATTTATAAAACCTCAAACCATTATGATATTCATCATTCGATTAACATGAAATCAAAATATATAATTTACTTCTTCATTCTTTATCTCTTTAGCGTTTAGATTTGGAAGAAGTTATTTTATCATCGAAAAATTAAAAGAAAATTTTTCAACAAGAAAAAAAAATCATTTTATAATTTTAAAATAAAAATGTCAAATCATAAAACATTAAGCAACTAACAGTAGAGTGACTAGAATATGAGTAAATCAAAAGTTCAATGAGTAAATTGATTTTTTTAATATTAGTGATCAAAATAAAAATGAAAAGAAACTGAGTGATAAAATTTATAATTTACTATTCATGTCGTAGAAAGTAAAAAGGATAGGCAACATTTACGGTAAATTTGGTCCGAAAAGACCAGAAGAAAACTGTTAGAAGGGTGGTAGAATAGAGCCTATGTCACCTTGTCTTGTAAGCTGTGTGATATTTTAGTATAGTTATTTTATTTTCTCTGTTATTATTATTTAATATTTTGTTTTATCATTTTTTATAATATAATAAGTTTGAAATCATTATTAATTTTTTAATATACAATTTTATTTTTTTTAAGATTAATGACAATATTTATAAACTAATTTTATTAATATGTTGAATTAATATATTTTACGGTTAAAAATGAAAATGTATAAGTTGAATGTAAAATATATTTATGCCTTTTAACAGACTAAAATGATTATAATTAGTATCTATTCATAATTTTCTTAACCATTAACAATATATGTATACTCTATAGACAATGGGTGTTTATCGAGCGAGTCGATCGCGAATTGGACAATGCTCTACTTGTGTTCATTAAAAAAATTGTTGTTCTACTCGACTCGTTAAGCTCGTTAAAATTTTACTTGACTTATGCTCGTTAAAAAAATTGTTGCTAAACTCGACTCGTTGATCATTTAACTTCCTATAATTTTTATCTTGTTTTTTTAACTATAGGTAAAATCTACTAATACTATATAAAGCTTAATATAAACATAAAATAACCAAAAAATTATAAAGAATATAAGAAGCAATTTCAAAAGTTTAAACTCTAAAATAAAAATCCATAAATACACCAAACTAACATATTAAAGTTAAAGTAAAAATCCACAATACATTAAACTAACATATTAAAAACATTCTTTAAAAAAAGTTCAACTATACATAATAAAAGCAAAAAAAAATCAACATCTTTTCACTCTATTCATTGTTGTTTGCTCTCATCAAACCATTAAAAAATTATAAAAAAATTAACGAACTGCTCGTGAATTTATCAAATCAAGTTGGGCTTTGCTCGACTCAACTCGTTAAAGTCTCAAGTCAAATTCGAGTCGAGTCAACTCGATTCGAGCGTTGATCAAGTTGAATTTGGGCAGCTCACGAGCAGCTCAACTCATTAAACACCCTACTACATACATAACAGTTCGAATTCAAACTTTAAAGAAAAATAATACTCTCATTAACCACTTACACATCTCAATGTTTTCACGTAAAGCACATTTCTACCCTTAATCTAATATGATAAAAAATAATTAATAAGATGTAGATTGTGTATTAGGGAATTCCTTTTTACATTAATATTAGTAATAATGTTTTCTTTATTCATACCAAGTAAAGCTAAACCAAAGCCAATGAATTTGCAAGAAAATGAACATTTTTTTGTTTAATTATAGTTTCAGTCACTTTATTACGTTGAAATTTGATATTTAATCCCTTTACTTTTATTTGGTATAAGTCAGTCCCTTTACCTTTAAAATATTTTAGTTGATCCAAATTGATAAGATCATTAATTGTTGTTATTGTTAAAACGATGACATGAAACTTTTTATTGTTCCCACACGTCTGCAGATACAACTGCTCAAACCCAAGACTTTAAGGAAGAACAATATTCTTTTTATAACTGATGCCACTTAATGAGTTCAGATCATTAAATATCTTTAGTTAGTCCAAATTAACAATAAATTTATTTATTAGTCGAATGTTCAAGGTTTTTTTCTAAAAAAATTCACTTCATCACTTTAACAACATTAACAATGTTATCAATTTAAAGTCACTGATAATCTTATATGATTGTTGATCGAAACATAATCTGATGAAACTTTTTATTTGGTATAAGCACAACTTTAACGACTCGAATTGTTCCCACACGTCTTTTGTTGTTGTTATGGTTTCCTTCAAAGAAGATAATTGGTAATTTTGATAGGGAGCTAGCGTTTGTGCCTGCTGAAGGGGCTTCGGGTGGCCTTATTTCCGTGTGGGATAGAAATGTGTTTGAGGTGAGTAACACTATTGTCTCTAGGCGAATGATTGCTCTCAAAGGCAGGTTAGTCTTTAATAACATGATGGTAGGACTTACTAATGTCTATGGGCCGAATGATCAAGCTGAGAGGAGGGATTTTTTCGACCATCTGAATACTGTTATTTCTGCTTGGAATATTCCTGTGATAGTGGGAGGTGATTTCAACGCTGTTAGGAAGGATTCAGAAAGATTAGGGGTTCATTCTCAACCGTCTGCGACAAGGATTTTTGATGAATTTATTGAGGCTTGTGAGCTGATTGAGGTTCCTAATAGGGCAGTCTATATACATGGTACAGAGGTGGTGGGAATGTGGTAGCGAGTAGGCTGGATAGATTTTTGTTATCAACAGAAATTTACAGTATGTTTCCTCAATTGGTTCAAGATACACTTCCTAGGGGATTATCTGATCATAAACCGGTTGTTCTGAAAGAGAGGAGGTTAATGAGGTTCGCTAGACCTTTTAAATGGTTTAATCATTGGGTTGATGACTCTATTTTGGCCAAAACAATCAGTGATTTATGTGAAGCGAATCGAGGTAAAGGAATGAATAAAATTCTGCTGATGGTAAAGAACGCGACAAAGGAAAGAGAGCGAGCACAAAGAGAAAATAACTCGGAATCTGCAGAAGAAATTGGGAAAAAAAATTGATTCATTAGAAGAAAGTTCACTTTTGGATCCTACCAATACTCAAATCCAGATGGAGATTACATTGTTAAAGGCTAGACTGTGGAATATTAGGAGGAATGGAGAACGTGAATGGTTACAAAAATCTAGGCTCAGGTGGTTTAAAGAGGGTGATAAAAATACTAAATTTTTCCATCTCTCGGCAGTATCAAGGGGGCGAAAAAATCAGATCACAAGGCTGAAAGTTCAGAATTCTCTTTTTAAGACACAGGTTGGTATTCAACAAGCGTTTGTTAATCATTTCCGCACTGGTTATAATGAGATGAAAACAATTCCACTGAAGAGATTTGATATTCCTCTCAAGAGGTTAAATGCGGCAACCAGAAGGATCGTAGAAAGCCTATTTTCGGAAGAGGAGGTTTGGCTTACAATTAAATCATCGGATGGATCAAGAGCGCCAGGTCCGGATGGGTTCAATCTAGATTTTTTTAAGAGATTCTGGAAGTATCTTAAAGGTGAAGTTATGAAGTTTATGGAGGATTTTTCTGGGGAAGAGTGGAAGACTTTTCTTTTAATAAATCTTTTATTGCGCTAATTCCAAAGAAAGCAGAGGCAATTTGTCCTGACGATTTCAGACCAATCTCATTGGTAGGTAGTTTGTATAAGATTGTAGCTCGTGTATTGGCAAAAACAATGGGTAGTTGTCTTCATGAAGTGATTGGAGAAAATCAGTTCGCGTTTTTTGCTAGCAAACAGATAGTCGATTGTAGTTTGATAGCAAATGAAGTCATTAATGGGCTGTTTAAAAACAAAAAGGAGCAGTGCTGATCAAGGCAGATTTCAGTAAAGCTTATGATACGGTTGACTGGTGGTTTCTCAATCTGATCCTGAAGAAAATGGGTTTCGGCAGAAGATGGAGAAAATGGGTTAATTCGTGTATTTCAACTCCTTCGATTGCAGTATTAGTAATGGCTGTCCGTCAAAGAGCTTTTCTATGAAGAGGGGATTAAGACAAGGCTGTCCGTTGTCGCCGTTGCTTTTAATATTGTTGGCGAAGCCCTCAGTGGTATGATAAAGAAGGCGACGGACATAGGTTTATGTAGTGGGGTGGCAGTAGGGAATGGTGGCGTTGTTTTATCACATATCCAATTTGCAGATGATCTGCTCATTTTTTCAGATTCAAAACATGAGTCCATCTCTAATTTCTATCGGGTTCTTAAAATTTCGAAGTGGCAGCTGGATTAAAGCTTAATAAGGAAAAAACTATGTTATTCGGCATAAACGAGGAAGCGAGTAGAGTGAGGGTTTGGGCAGAATCGATTCGCTGTGGTTGGGCTGAGCTTCCGTCGACATACTTGGGTCTACCGTTAGG